GGGCTCTCTCTCTCTCTCTCTCTCTCTCTCTCTCTCTCTCTCTCTCTCTCTCTCTCTCGCTCTCTCATTCTCTCTCTGTTCAAATGTTCAGTTCAAACCTTTTCAGTGACCTCTCCATCATTGATAATATTTCATCGTTCAATAATCTCCGTGAAATAGTTTCTTTACGTAGCGGCGATTATTCTAGCGATGATCATGGTCAATATGTTGAGCGAAAAGTACCACCATTTGGACGACAATTTGAAAACGCTTCCCGCCCCAGAGTCTGCGTCCTGATTGGAAGACGTGACTAGCTGCTCGTCCGTTTCGCCTGTCGAATTTTATAAACAAATCGTAGAGAGGGGCTTATAGAAGCTTAAGTGAATCGTCGTTGATTGGATGGCTCACTGCACCGGTCGTGCTCAGCACAGAGTTTCGCGGGTGAAACAACAGAGGTGATACGTGGATTACAAATCGCAGGCTCTCGTCGTTGTTTGGAACTTTATTTAGTTTGTTTTGGATCAGTTTTCTCCGTGAGGTCTGCTCCATGAACCTGCCTCTCATAATCCCGTGCGTGCTTTATTTACTGCATTTAAATGACTTTTTCTCTGGAAAATTTGTCGTTCCATATTTGCTGCCTCCTAACCCGAGTTTATGACTCAACGAGATTCCTCGAACGAACAAGTTTTTCATTCTCGTTCGTTCACTTTTTCCCGAACCCACGCGATTCCGAGTGTAGACTGTTGTCCTCTGGAAAAAGTGAGTTTTTTTTCCGGGTTAATGGAACCATAACTCTTCTTGGCCGCGAATAAAAGACGCAATTCCCGTGTATCATTTTGAAATTGACCTGCGTTGTCTTACGCTACGATCTCTACCGCCTCCGTGTTGACATTGGCGGTGCATCTCTTTTTGGTAAGTTCAAATAATCAAAACATAATATTGTTTGAGACACTATAAGATTTTTGTATTCTGAAACGGTATCTTTTCTGGTTCGTTATCATTTTGAAATTTGAAGTTTCATTATTTTGTCATCTTGTCGTTATAATGACAATGTGGATTATTAATGGTGAACGAAATTCATCGATATACTTATCTCAAAAATGTACACGTTCTAAATATGTACTTATGTTATTTGCCTTTGACACGATATCACATAAATGTTATCTCCCCTTTATTTATTTTGATTTTAAATATTTTAATAGGATTGACAATACATCGTGTGTATCTGTTGCTTTTCTCATATTTATAACTAACCAAATAAATTGATTAAAAAGATGCCTCTATAGCTATGATCTTTCTTTTTCGATACGAATTCAGTTTATGCCATAAACAAATAGATACAACCAAAAAATGATCAAATTATCTAGCACACAAAAATCTTTAGTGCCTGAAATATACAAAGTGGGAGATAAACTGTTTCTCGAAAACCTTTAACGGTAATTGCAAATACCCTCGATATTTTAAGCTTTAGTAGGATTTTTCCGATGACTCTCGCAATATAGTTGTTGAACCATATGTATGAGATGGCGTATATAATCTCTATTTTTATCTGTTTTTAATATTATGTTCATATTTGAATAATATTTTAAGGACAGGTATGTACACGAAATATTAAATGTACACCAATATAATTTGCCTGATGAATCGTATTTGTAAAACGATTTCGTGCGGGTACTACGTGAGTCAGAAGTTTCCAGTAAATCCTAAAATACGAGAGAATCTTCTCGTTACTTTTAATGGACAACGAGAAAACAGTTTGCAATGTTCCTTGGCCCACCTTGCAAGAATAGATTTTCGAAATAGAGAGAAATTATGATAACTAAAATTACTACGGTTATGCGTCGTATCAGAGAATAGAGTTTGGAGGGAAATTCCTAGGTCTCTAGCTATGTCCACACAAAACCGTACCAAAGAACCACCCGAAATAGAGAGTGGATGCACAGGGATACCGAGGATCCAACATGCCCTATTACCAAAATGATTCCTCGTGTAACAAAATCATTAGAACTAAAAGTGGAATAGTCGTGCATGTAGATCATGTGTAAGAGATAAAAAAATAATACGTGCAAACAAAAGTGGGGAATGAATACGTACAGAAATGTCAAACGAAAGAAAAGGATTAGAAATGGATGGAGAAACGAGAGAAACGAACGGGATGCTGAATTCAAGGTTGGGTTTGTTTATTTTGGTTAGACGACGGAAATGTGGCGGCAAAGGGGGAAGAGATGTACTGCCCTGCAGCAGATTAAGTTCCAAACAACGTAACCGTCCTCCG